GATCCCATTGAGCAGTTTAAATTCAAATTGTGGAGCACTTGCAATACCATGCTGGCAGCACTTTCCATAAATTACTCTCAAATTCAATACTTTGCTTGACAAAAACAAGAATAAAGGGCTTTTTACTTTAAAAAGAAGAAAACTTGTATCATAAAAAAAAATCTTTAAATTATAGTTTCTCTTTTCTCGTCCAATTTAAATTGTTACATGGTTGCTAAATTAGTGCTGTAATCTCTGCTTACAAATTGCAGAATTATTTTTAAAAATAGATGTAATTTTACTGCAGGGACCAACCTTACACCTTAAACTGTATGTGCTGGAGGTAGCCGCTCTTGCACAGCTTTCAAACAACCACGCTCACGTGTGCAACACAGGGTGAGGTTTACAATATCGGTCACACTGGAGCCGATAGCAGTTTTACCAGAGATTTCAATGAGCACAAATTGAGTTAACACCGACATTTCAGAATGATTAGCAAATTTCAGCTCTCCCAGGATGCTCTGTGGCACCAGTGTACCATTTCCTAAAACATCAGCATTTCTCTTGTGTTCTGGTCCAAACTATCTTCTCCTACTGAACTACAGCCTGTGTTAGGCCAGGAAGTTAGAAGCTAGAGAGAAACCCTGAAAATATGGGTTTTTTCCTCACAAAACAAGTAACTGGGGGAAAAAGTGGAGCACTGTGATCCCGAGTTTAAAGCTGGGGAATGGCAGCAAGCACTTCCACAGCTTTAGTACTACAGAAAGATGAACCTCACCCTGCAAAATCCTTGTGAGTGATCTTCAGGGTACGGTTTAAGGTCACGTCCTCAATATCTCACAGCACGCAGCAGAAACAGGAAACCTCGATCCCTGGGCCTCCATAGGGCACTGCAGAGCACACCTACCATCTTCCCCAACTCTAGCTAGACAAGACAAACATGAGACAGTTTCTTTCCTCTCCTTCCACCACTCATCATTTCTAGCCCATCACTCCTCTGAACTCTTTCATCCGACCCTGGCTATTTCTGCTTTGCTTGGTTAGTTATTTCTGCTTTCTCGCCCCCTTCCCCATCACACCATGGTCCTTCCCTCAGGGCCCAGCGCTCGGTCACATTGACTCAGACACGACAGAAGAAACCTTCAGAGGCCAGGAGCATCTGCAAGATCTTGCTGCTTTCTGCGCTAACTGCAGGTGCTCAGTACCTCTCAGCCTCAGAGGGATTATCTCCAACTGCCAACCACCCGACAGCCAGGAGAGGGAATAAAGAACGTCTCCATGTCCTGGAGAAAGTCATCAGGACATCAAAGAACATCCCATTCACAAAACAGCAGCATCGCTCTTGCCAGACCGGTGTGTCTGGTTAACCTTGTGTTCAGTCCTTATGATAATACGGTATTTGGAAAGCAGACAGCTGGCACTGCTCTAACATCTTGCTCCTCAATCTTTTATAACAACTGTTCCACTGATATTACTCTTAACCTTTTCTCTACACTGAGCCCAGTGCTAAAAAGCTATTCAACTATTTAGAGGAAGCAGACCAAATGTTTTTTGTCAGTAATTTGCCCTGTAAGGGAGGGGAAAAGTATACTGATAACATACTGCAGACACAGCATTCATCATGTGTACAGCAATGCGCTGGTTACACTGGAAACCCTATCGTGATATTTCAGATGTTACTTGACTGTCGTAATGACTAGGAGACATCTGTCTCCTATTTACACTTTATTTTTTACAGTTGCTTTTAGTTCAGCCGAAGTGTCTTAATGGAGAAGACTGGTACTCTTTTAGAAATAACATTAATAATGAAAGAATTCTTGGATGCAGAGCAAAACCAGCAAACACATTGGCAACAGAACTCACTGCATTCATGAAATGTAACAGGAAATGATAGTGACTGGCTTTTGGGTGGGGGGATTTCTGCATGAAAGAAATTAATTCTGGTACTCAAATTCCCATTAGGAAAAATATTTTTTTAAACAGGTGAGTGATCTCTTTACACCTTAATTCAGACTTTTGGGAATTTTCATCTTAACTGGGTCACTGACAAATAAAACCAGAAACAAAACCAAAACCACCCAACCCTTCTGCAGGTTATTTAGGCTTGGTATTGACTAACAAGTAATTAAATACAGCTCTTTGCAGTAATCTTAATTATGGCTTCACTCCACCACAACTAAGAAGAGTCACATAATAAACTGAGAAGATTAGCCAATTCTAACTGTTAAAACATGTATTTTTATTTTTGTGCACAGTTTTTATGCGCATATGGCCACAAGTCACACAAGGGAATTATTAAAAAAAATAAAATCAATGAATTCATGCACTCATATATCATGACCAGGCAAATGTTATAGTTCTTTATATAAATGAAGCAGCTCGGCTTAATGGCTTGCATAACAGGTCAAGAGTTTTGGACTTGGGGAAATGGGGATGGGTGCTAGAAATCAGTGTGAATTTAGGGAGACCAGTAAACAAGCTTCATTGAATCACTCAGATTTATACCAGCTGAGAATCCTGTTTTCTCAGCTGGCCACAGCCATGGATTAGATGTGCAATCTTGGGCTAATCACACAGGCTCTGCCTTTCATGGTAATTCAGGCCCAGAGGAATCTGAGTCTAGGTTCTTAATTTCCATTGATTTCCTACAGAAGTAGGGCTCCAAATGTCCAAGTTATTTTCTGATAATGGGACTTGGGGAAAACTCAAAAAAGAAAAATCAGAGGCCACAATTCAGCAAAATATTTAAGCACAGGCTGGATTTTAAGCAGGTCATTAACTCTCATTGACTTCATTATGACCACATCACACATCTAAAGGCAAAAGCATCAGATTGTGCCTCAGCAATTTCAGGGCCCCCAATCCATTTGCAAGAACAACTTGCAAGCCCAGCACAGGCCCTCAGTGTACTTAGGCACTCATCATCCTCCTGAAGCTAATGCAGACCTCATTTCTTTAAAAAAAAAAAAAAAAAAATCAATGAGACATACACTCTATGACACAAATTCCTCAGGCCTAAAACCAATAGCACGGCAGGTGCCTAGATCCCTCGCAGATCTGGCTTTTGGCACAGCCCAGTCCTGAGCTTTCTAAAGGGTACTGAGACTTAGTGTCCCAACACTTGTTGCTTCCATGTTTAATGTGTGCTTGGGTGGGGTTTTTTTTTTTGCCGCATCAGATTGCCAGATTCCTGCTTTCCATTTCCCACTCATGGTACCAGCTGTCCAGCTACACGTACGTAGCACAACCAGCGTCGCCATCCTTTCCCCTGCATGTGCAGCAGCAGATGGATCCAGACGTGCTTTGGGTTAAGTCCATAACCAGGTTTTTGTGGACTGCGTGGATAAACATTTAAGGGCCCCTTCTGGTTATATAAAAGAAACCTATTAAACGTTTACTCTTTCCTCTGTAGTCAGAACTGCAAAGCCGTATCACAGAATGTACAAACGCAGATGCAACTAGGCAATTATCGTTCCTTTATCCCTTAAATAGATAGAAGATAAATTTGAAAGAAAACGAGGAACAGAATCCTTCTCCCTTTCCTTTTTTATCCTTTTATCTCCCAATGTAGGAAGTTTACTGAACCCTTGCCAACAATTCACTCAGGCTAATGAAGTGTATAAGTAATGGGATTAAATAATCTTAAACCATTACTACAGTGGCTAATGCAGATGTTTTCCCAAACCAAAGCAGATGAGTGGTGACGAATGCGTGCTCGATTAAAAAAAGAGGAAAAGAAAGCATCAATCTGCAAGCAGATGAAGTGAATTCCAGCCTGAAGTCAACAAAATGTTTAATTCCAGTTACATAAAGTTGCTCCAATGATATTATGAATGCACCTTCCTAAAGTCTGCAGTGCTTTGCACATAGTCAAGCTTGCCATGAAGTTCACCTTACATTTTTTATGGTGCAATCATTTTAGTGCAAACAAAAATGAAAATGATTTAAAAGGTACATATTGCATCAAAAGATCATTTCGTTTTTAAAAGCCAATTAACAAGGACCACACATCATTGCCACTAAATAAGACAGAATCCTCCCTTTTTATATTCAACATCTCAGCAATAATCCCACTGCAGAAACAGAAAGAATAATGGCATACTGGTGGCATTTTCAGAAATACATACTATTGCTTTAATTTTTATTGGAATGTCAGAAATGCCAAGGAAAGAATCACTTTTTACTTCCAGAAGAGCAAATCTGATTCTGGAAAAGGTCTCAGGTCCAGCGTTTATAAAACGAACTCTGATGGGAGATCTTGACAAAGACCCATCAATGCTTTAAGAACATTTTGGTGCTTTTCTTAGTCTAAATTACAAGGATTATCCCTATATACTGTATGCTAAGGTCACACCAAGGTAAGGCCTCAGGCACATTATGTGATGCTTCTTTCATTTGCAACTGTGCAACTGGTTCCAACTAACTCTTACGGGAGCCTCTTAAAAGGTGCAGCTCCTCAGAGCAACTGTTAATTGTTTGCTTTAAGAGCTTGTTGGAAGCATGAAATGAAATTTTAGGGTAAGGCAGGCTTCAGAAGATACCCAATCCAAAGATCCTTAGTTCAGTAGAAGGACTTCCATCAAGCAATGCAAGGGTCTTGATTTCAGAAGTTTTAGTGCTATCTTGCATCCCACCTCCTTAATTTTAGCGGGCGTCACCATCTGTAATCATTTTAGTATCAGGTTTCTCAACACAGAATGCTTCTGAAAGCAACACTACTGCTTAAAAATCACTGCATTATGAGTTCCTTACAGAGCTGAAATAATCACAAAAAGCACCTCTTTCCCCTGCTTTGGCCACTTCATTTCCGAGATAGGTTAGACCAGGAAACAAAATTCACCCAGGAAGCTGAAAAGATCATAGCTCCTTTCTTTTTGAAGACCATGGAAAAACCAGTGCCCACAGAACCACCATGGGATTGTCAGGTTTAAAGTATAAGGCAACTACACAGCAATGAAAGAAACCAATGTTTCCAATATCTCTGCATTAAAATCAGGGTGCAGACAAGAATGGGTACTTACAATGTAGCAGGGTTCACAGTAGGCTTTCTTCTCCACTGCATAGAAAGGCTGTCCCCTCAGCTTGTTGTTGCACATCATGCAGGTGAAACACTCCACATGGAAGACCTGGTCCATGGCCGTGCAGCCGGTGCCTTCCCCAACAACATTCTCCCCACAGCGGGCACAGCGGCCTGTCACCAAAGGGAAAGGACTCGAGTCAAAGCAAGCTCCTGGTCTCAGCTGCAGAGAAGGTCCTCCCAGATGCCTGTGCTGCATAGTGAGCAAAGGGGCCAGGGCAGCTCAGTCAACAGAAAAGCAATTTGTTCCATGGCTGGCAAAGATCCACCACCACCAGAAGGCACTCTGGTGCTGGCCCATATGAAAAGATCTAGACAAGCTTGAAATCAGCTTCCAAGACCGCACTGGTATCAGTTCTGCTGCTGCTAGCCAGCGATCACCAGAAGCAGCCATGAGCCCCAGATGCAAACCATGCAGCTATCATCTAACCCAGCTATATAGTCACCCTCAGCTCCTCAGTTAGATGGGATAAACCTGTGCCTAAAGCCTTGCCTCCACATGAAAGGATTTTGTGGTAGGATGCCTCGTAAAGCTGCCTGGTGGCAGCGCAATTGTTACCATTTAAAGAGTAGCTTTTGCTTGTATAGCTTAAACCAATTCCCTCAATGGAGCCAATTATACTGGCAAAAGGATTTTACTTTTTACACTTTTGCCAGTATAGCAGTATCAATCCTCATGCTTTTGCTAACGTGCTGATGCTGAGCTAGTTAATATTTTAAATAAAAAGTAGTAGCTAAAGACTGAGTGATTATAACAAGTGCAGTATCATCTCTGACATGGAAAAATGACTTTTTTTTCTGTTTGAAGATTAATAAGGATTAAGATATTGTGTCTATTTAAAGCACAGAAACTATTCCTCAAGAAACTGGTGTGTGGATACTTTACTCTTACCGTACTTCAAGAAAGGTGTACCAGAAGCTGTGAGTAAGGACTCTAAAGGCAAGCCCTAAGAGCTCTGGCTGTTTCTGAAAAATGCCACATGCAAATACATAGCACACAAAAAATCTGTACACACACGCACACTTGTGTACAAAAGGCTTGCTGCCTTGTTCAGATTGTTGTTGAAAATGTTATGTGGTAGATAGATTTGAAGTGAAGACAGGATTTGAAAGAAACAGGGTTTCTTAGATCACATGAAAGACATTTTCCTAGTGAAGACTGTGGTGCAGAGATGATGGAAGAGGGTGGATAGAAGGCACACCTTTGCAATTTTCTCCTGCCATTCGAGTTCTAGAAAACAAGGGTATCCCATGTAGATGTGATGTCCTTACCCAACAATCAGTGTTGTAAACAATTCATTCAGAGAGTCATGGAAGGTATTTAGGACAACCTCAGCCCCACTGAAGGCAACAGAGCAACTACAGTCTGGGGCTTTGTCCCACTCAAAACGGCATTCTCCAGTTGGAGAATAATTGTGGTGCCCCCAGTCTTGGGACCCTGCATCTCTCCTTCAAGGCTCCATGGGTGGTGTGGTCACTGAGGGTGGGAAGGAGGGGAAGGGAAGCAAGAGCTGACACACAAGCAGGAAGGTAAGACTGAGTTCAAAATAGAATTACTCGTAAATGAGTATATAAATAATATGTCCCTAATAATAATTAAATAATCCAGCAACGATATGATGTTCTCCCATACCATGGTCTGTGTTCATTGGCCTTTTCAAACAAATACTGCAAAGCTTCCTAAACGGACTTGGACAGGACGTGCCTCATCATCCCAACAGCAGGGCTGCTGTCCTTGTGCAATGCAACATCAATGTCCCCGCGCTCACGACTTCTTCCCTTCCTGTCTCAGACTCCAATAGGCTACATCCAGGGAACAAAGCATGTAAGCTACTTTTGGATCCCTCAGGATGCAGCAGGATGATATATATACACATTTGAGATATATTAGGAAAGCTTGGAAAAGAACCCAGATCATTCTGATTTGCTACAACGGCATAACCGTAGTTGGCATTATACAGGACAGGCAGTTCCTGGCTCAAAAAGCTCCCAGTCTGAGCAATGTGGAGAGGGAAGTCACCAGATAAATCCAGACAAGATTGGAAAGCCACCCCCAAAGGAATTAATGATGTTGTTTTTACACTTAACTTTCTTTTGCATTTGTTATTAGCATTTTGACTGACAGTGTCATGCTTTAATCGCTCCACTGTAACGCTTCTTGTGAGGAATCCTTTTTTACGAGCAGAGAAGGAATGCAGGGTTCCCAGCATGGTGGTGAGGCTACAGAGCATGGGGGAAGAATGGAAAAAAACAGGAGGACTAGGAAGAAGAAAAAAATTAAAATCCCACTGGACAGAACCATGGGAGCAGCGCTGCTCTGGAAAGGAGGCAGAAGGAACCTACTGTGTACACCACAGGAGCTGCATGTACAACAGGAGAGCACTGCTTGGTCCTGTGTGCAGACAAGACCGAGCGTGCTCCGGGGGCTTCTCCAAACTGCTCGTGTAGCTGGGCTGTAATATGAAGAGACGTCTGGGGAGCAGTTAATATCTCTCTATATAAAACATGAAATTGAAAGCCATTAGTGTATTACTTTACACTGTGTTTTTCCAGAGGGAATATTCCGCTGAAGAATTTATTTTCCCTGGTGTGCCATTCTGTGATCATCCTGTATTATTTTTATGAGGCATTTGGACATGGAATAATGTAGTGTCTATGCAAACACTTCTCAGCTTTCTTTGTTAACATCTGAGTAGAACATGTGGGAATCTTTTCTTCCACTCCTCCTCTTCTCACATTCATAATTTAGCCAGCTCTTGTATACTTCAACATTTATCTTCCTCTTTGACCAAGGTGTCTCTCCATTTGCTGGAGAAGCTGTCTATATGTAGACCATACTTCTGGCTGTACTTCTAGTGTCAGGAGACCCGGGTCTGTTTCCTATCTCAAATATATACTCTTGTAATCTCTGGCAAATCACTTGGTGCCTTTGTACCTCTGTCCTCCCTTTGACCAAAGGACATAAAGACATCTCCTCTGCCTCCCAAAGGTGCCCTGAGGCTACATTCCTGCATGGCTCCGAGGCATTCCCCAACTACACTGCTGGTGGCCAGGTACAAACCAAAGAGCAGCAAAAGAAAAGTCTTGGCCAGCTTCTCCCCTTGAAGTTGGTATTTCCTTAGGCTTTCCTTCCTCTTTCTGGGTTTTTCCACAGAAGATTCCCATTTAGGCAGCGACAGACTTAACCTATCTGCATTTATGAGAAGTCCAGCTTCTGCTATTATGCACGCAGACAGAAATGCTCCTGTAAACTCTCACACAGGAAAGCTTAAAGAAAGCTTCCTTTTTCATAAGTTTATATGCAAATTGTAACACTGTGGCCTGGAGCAAACTATGTTTTTCATGAGACATGGCCACTCCAGTGAGAATCAAAACACAAGCTCTGTGCCTAGCACCACCCCCAACTGACTCACTTGCCTGAAGGGTAAAAGCAAGTAAGCCAAAATATTCAAATTTGGGAGCTTACAGTTAGGTCCAGGATCCATGTAAAGCCACGCGGGCAAATACACAACCCATTGGGCTTGCAGCGATGTGGCCGTTAGAAGCTGCACCTTCTGCAGACTCAGATGCAATCTGGGAACTTAAATCTTGTGTAAAACCAGGTCTCTTCCCCTGAGTCTTGTGCCTCACTCAAATGCGGTTGAAAATGGCTATTAATCTCAAGTGTTGTTGGTGAAGGAGGAACTAACAAACAGACAGGCACATGCACACAGGCAGTGCAATTGCACAAGCCTCATTTCCTTAGAAAACCAGAAAAACCCCACTAAAAACAATGTATTTATCATTATGTCTGATAAAAACAAAACAAAGGTCTGCTATTCCTGTGTGCCAATTACCAACAGCGAAGGTATTTGTGGTCGGACTCACCACAATTAAGTGCCCACACATGTTCCCCATTTTAATATTTTCACACTGGTTGAAATAACCCAGTCGGTTGTGCGCAGAATACCCATGAGTGAATACAGAACAAGTTGCACTGCTGATTGGGAAAGAAGTAGCAAAGGCAAAGCTTGCAAGACGCAAGAACAAACAGATTGCACAAAAAAGATTACACAAATAATCTAAGAGAAAAATAGCAGGCAGTGTATTACAGTAGAGACATAGAACAACGTGACCCATTTGCTTCCCACAGAGACAAACAGCACTTAAAAGGCAGCTTAAAGACAAAGGACAAAATTAGTACTAAACTGCACTAAGATGAAACTATGTCATTTCAACATTCTTCTTTTGCCCCTTCAGCCCTTTTTAGGTCCTTTTCCAAGATCATTTCAGCAAAACTAGAAGGTGATACGTTGGCAGCAAGCCTGGGAGACCGGAGTCCTCTATTTTTGCATGAAAGAGGTTCATAACCTTGGCCATGACCTTCCGTCAGCCTAGCCTGGCTGCCACATGTTGGTCTTACCTTAGGGGGACATACAGAAGTGCCCACAGAGGCTTCCCTACTGAAATTGCTGGAAATGCCATTGTTACTGAGTGGATCACAGGGAAACACTTCAGCAGCTGAAAGGAAACATCAGCTACTGTACTTTATTATGAAACCTCTTCATTTACTGTCTCCTGTTGTATAAAAATTTGAAATACTGCAACTCTGAAGGAAGAGGGGGAAGGGAGGAGAAGAGCTTGTATTGCACATGATGCCACGTTATAATTTCTTGTTATTTTATTACTATCATTACATGGGTTTTGCTTATACTACCACAGATCCTGGCTGCTCAGATTGTGGAACAGCCCCGTTGTGCTGGGTATTGGACAAACACAGAATACAAAGAAGGGCCTGACTGCAGGAGTTTACAATCTAATACACGTAATAACAACTGGGTATAGACAGGAAATACAAAGAAGCAATCGGACAAAATGGGTCAGCAAAGAAATTGTGGTCTCAGCACTCTAAATGTTTTACTATTGACGAGGAGTCTGTAGACAGCCCAGCAAAGGAAAAGGTTAAGGAAGAATTTGAAAGAGGATCTGGAGGGAGTTTAAGGGAAGTTTAATGGGATGCTTCTGAGGAAAGGACAAAGACAGCACAAAAGGGAACGAAGTGCTTGAAGATTGAACATTGACACCTGCAGACGGGAAGGATGAGTTGATATGTCACTGGAGAATACTAGAGGAAA